TATCATGAAAACATCGATGATCGATCGGCGGACAGACTCTGACTGCCAAATGCACTCCGCTCCCAGAAAACATGAGATTTTCTGCAAAACTCAGCAGTTTTACCAGCAAACCATTGTTGCAATGTGCTTATCAGCAGGTCAGTTGATTTGCTTTTCAAACTCTAGAAATAACATCATTTAATTTGCAGTACGGCAATGCGTATCAGGGAGCAGGGAGCCCGAAAATGCGAGCGCGTTCCTCTCTTTTCAGTTTGGCGCATGGAGCCTCGCGCAGGGCCGCGGGGCCTAGGAATCGGCTCCGCTGTGACCCCCTCCCCCCCTCCCAATAGGTCGAATGTGTGATTTTCTCAATCACAATAGGCCTCTAGGTATCTTCGTAGGTTAAGAGCAAGTTATTTGCATTTTGGCGCACTTTACAGCCGAAAAACGAAATACCGCGGATCGGCCCATTTTCGCCCCATTTAAATCAATGTAATTTTTTGGGAGATTTTCAGCCTCAAGTCGGCACGTGTTAATATTGTTGGAGAACGAAAATATTTGGCAGGTGTCATATTTGGATGGTAAGGAACAAATTTAGGTTGAGTCGCGGTTCATTTGGCCAAAAAAAAATTTCCCCATGTTAACTTGGACCACCCTAACTCTCCGCGCATCCTGACCTCGGAGGTGGGCACGCGACGACGGGAGGTCGTCTCAGGAAAATTGAGTTTTCTCGCGAAGTCCTCAACCGATTTTCAAAAACTTGAGCTTGTTTAAAAGCTTAGAGTATGCCTAATATGTACGTTCTTACCGATTTGATTTATCTTTTTTCGTTCGGAAGATACAAGGTAGGGAACCTTACTTTTTGGATGACCCTCGTATGTTTACAAAACTCTCATTCAAAATAGCAAAGATTTTTGCAGCACTGATATTTTGAGGCACAACAAACGATAAAAAAATAATATCGAAAAAAAAAAAAAAAAACTAAATCATAGGAAATATTCAGAGAAAACGCACTGCTATTCTTTTATGTGGTAAATTAAATTTTGAAGGTATTAGCCATTCTTCATCGAATAATTAAAGAGCAATGAATGTAATTCAAACGAAAGATTGCACGGAATTAGTTACCGCAAAAGGTAAGTAAATATTTTCAGCTCTAATTCGCAATTCACAAAATGGATAATGTACACTGCCATGCTAAGGAAGAACGCCGTATGAACATTCAAGAGTTGCCGAATTTCCTTCGATAAATATTCATTTTTAAGGAAAGTTATGAATATTTTCCCTCGCAATTTTCAGGACTTTTCGGTGAAATTGCGAGCAAAATTATCGGAAAAATTTGAAGAAAATTATTCATGAGTTTACCAGGAAATTCGTGTTTAATCAAAGGAAACTTGACAACGCCTGAAGGTTCATACGGCGTTTTTCCTCAGCACGGCAGTACAGGCGGAGGAGGAAGTCGTGGCGTGATATTTGAATTTCCCGCGAGAGCCGTAAATGTAGTTCCACAAGAATCTGTCAAGATGCGCTGTCGTCGATAAGTCTGTGATCCCCGAATAACATTAAAGTCTATTATTGTTGCGGCTCGAGGCAACAATGGATCCCCCTCTCGAGTGTCTAATCTCATGCATTATGCAGTCAACATAGCTCGCAGTGCTCAGGCTCACTATCAGACGCATAGTATCTCAGACAAGACGCTGCACTCGGTCGGCCCACACAGCCTAATATGTGATAAAAAATGTAAACTTGTCAGAGAGACAAGTTTATGGTTTCATTTTTGAGCTCGATGAGAATAGATTTGAAAGTTTTGAGGATTCTTCAAAACGATGGTTTCATATAATTGAATAAATAGGGTATGTTGTCGCAGTGTTACCTTGGATTCAGATTATCCGATGCTTCAGAAAAAAAAACACTTATTTTTCAGTGAAAATTCGAACGACTTGTACTTGGGACAACAACGCATTGGCAGTAAACAGACAAAATATTCGGGAAACAAACAAAATGATGGTTGATTACGTTTCGTGACGGTAAGTCACACGCTCGGACTCAATACTCAACGATACTCCTGTCGCCCTCTGTCGGGTGTTATAGGCGAAGTTTAAGCCTTAGCTCTCATTCGAGAGAGCGAGCGAATGGCACACACACCAGTCATAACACGTTTTTATTTTCGGTCCAACATCAAGATCGTACACGGAAAATTAGACATGAAATAGACTAGAAATAGAAATAGACATGAAATAGAATTATTTTTTTTTATTTTTTTATTTTTTTATTTTTTTATTTATTTATTTATTTATTTATTTATTTTTTTTTTAAAGAAATTTCAAATATTCTTAGGGCTAAGAAATATTCTTTCTGAAACGTTCATTCACCCCCTTCTTCATGGCCTTATTATAATGTAAGGTCTACTTACATCGAGTTCGGATCATCCTACCCCAAATGATGGAGGCTATTTTGCAGCAGATTTTTCTTTTTACTTCTCATTAGGAATTTCTGCGTTTCAAAATTGTAATTTTAGTGAACTGCAAGACTTGTTTGTTAATTGTTTACCATTAAAGTCATATTTACTGTAAGACTCATTATTCTTTTTGAGTGATTAATAGTATGGTCCCTCTCTTCTCTATGCAAATAGAGCAAAATCAATTTAGCGAGAGAAATCAAGTTTACAGTTGGATTCCTCTCAAAATGCAATTCAGGTAGCCAGTAGCAAAACGGTGCCTATGAAGCTCTCCAAATAACCAATGAGCAGAGTCCTAGTTGGACTGCATCTTGCAATTTGGAACTACAGATTCTGACTCTTCTGGAAAAACACATATGTGCATAAGGAAACTAATGACACATACGTTGTTTTTAAACCGGACAGAAAGTCAAAAGCTCCTAAATGATTTCAAATAAATTGAAAAATAATATCAAAGCGATATCTCATTCTATTTTCTTTATTACTTTCATCACAAAAAAAAGAGTAAACATCGCTCGAATTTCTGAACTCCTGCAATTAAGATCAGTAGCGTACTGGTTCCTCGAAGCGGCATGCAGGGGAAATCACAAACAGATGACTGCACCGTAGTTTACACGCAATGCATGAAGTATCCTGCAGACTTGTAAGGCGCTACGCTATGCGGTGCTCGCACCGAGCTGTACGCGCAATGCATGAAGTATCCTGTAGTCTTGAAAGGCGCTGCAATGCGTTCCGCGCCGCTTCATCATGCACGTCAGCCGCACTGTGCTTGATGCGATTATTCAAACTTGCAATGTCAGCGGTTTTTAACTCGTGATTTTGAAGTTATTGTAAAGTTTAATAATGTAAATAATGTAAGGTCTACTTACATCGAGTTCGGGTCATCCTAACCCAAATGATGGGGGCTGTTTTGCAGCAGATTTTTCTTTTTACTTCTCATTAGGAATTTTTGCGTTGGATCCCTCTCAAAAATCAATTCAGGAAACCAGTCGCAAGACGGTGCCTATGAATCTCTCCAAACAGCCAATGAGCAGAGTCCTAGTTGGACTGCATTTCGCAGTTTGGAACTATAGATTCTGGCTCTTCTGGAAAAACACCTGTGTACATAGGGAAACTAATGACACATACGTTGTTTATAAACCGGGCTAGAATTTATAGTTCCAAATTGCAAAATGAGGTCCAGTTAATCAGCTCCTTTTTGTTATCTCGATGCACTTTTTGCTCGAACCCGCAGAGCCTCTGCGTTGAATACCCCCGCAAAGAGGAAATTCAATTTAAAAATTCATTAAATCTCGTATGTGTTTAGTGTGCTCTGTGGGGCGGAATTTCTTGGAATCAGCAACAGCTTTGTACGCATAAACCTGACCTTCCAATGCGCTTATTTTTTTCATGTTTTTACCGTCACGTGTCACTCTTTGAACACTCTCTCATTTTGCCTTGCTTTGTTTTTTTTCTGGTGTTAAAACGAGGGAACACAAGTACGCAACTTTTCAATTAAAACTTTATCGGGGCTAAACTCGCGGCGTGTATCGTCGTGTTCCATCTTTTACAAAGCCTTCATATCAGAATTCTGTCGTGCTAAGGAAAAACACCGTATGAACATTCGAGAGTTGCCAAATTGTCCCGGATAAAACATGTATTTTTGAGATCGATTGTGCGTATTTTTCCTTGAGATTTTCAGACATTTTAGACGAAGTTGCGAACAAAATTGTCTAAAAAAATTGAAGAAAAAGATTCACGATTTTCCCAGTAAATTAAGGTTTTATTGAAGGAAATATGGCAACGTCTAAAGGTCCATACGGCATTCTTCTTTGGCACAGGAGAATTGACGACTGACCTTTCAAAATTACAGGACAATTAGTAGGTACACTGGTACAAGTTGCAAATTGAATTAAGTTGACAAGTTGGCATATTATAGATTCATCTCTTTTTTCTAGAATATTCACCACTTCTGCACATTTGGTAAAAATGTATCCCTCCCTCCC